CTCAGAAGAAGGATGTGACAGATCCAAATTCGAAGAAAAAGCGAAGCCCGGCTACATATGGACGTAACAACACGCAAGGGTCCAATTGGTTCGTGCCTGAGGAACCCAAGGATTTGATCCATATTGTACATTCCGACGGTCATGCGCGTGCTATTAGGCGTCAACAACCAGAACCAGAGAACGAGGTCAGCCATGAGCCGCCTCCGCACAACGCCTTTCAAGTGGAAGACAATGACTTGGACCTTCGAACGGATGACCTTAACGAGGATGATGTGACAGAAAGTGCTGGGAAGCCTCACACCCAAGCGGAGTCCGTTGAGGAGACGACTGATGCATGTGCGAAGAGACCTGCTGCTCGAAAGCGAAGAGCAGACGGGGTGGAGATGAGTCATGTACCGGTTGCTAAGAAGGCGAGGCATTCTGGCGACAAAAATACTCCTGCTCGTCCTATAGAAGAAGAACAGCCTTTGGCTCCCCGAGCAAAGCGTCAAGTTGCCATTGGTAACAACGGAAGTCCCATCCTTGCACTATTTGTTGCACCAAAACAACAGCAGACTCTTCCAACGACAAAAACAGCAGACACCGGCTTGCTTAAGGAGACTGAACTAATGATCGTTAACCCAGATGACACTTTTTCGAACTTCGCCAACGGGAGCAGTCCTGCCTCGATTCGACCAAAAGTCTCTCTACACGAAGCCTATCAAGTTAAATCGGAACCACCTAGGATCGATATCACAAGTAAACCTCAGGCACTACGAATCGAAAAGGAATATCAGCTGGTAAACACCAACTGTCTCGCTGCCGTTGAGAATGCCTCAAGCCGGGATGACGTTCATCCGCCCAAAGCTGAGGTGGCCCGACGAAGACCTTTGGCTGAGATCAAGCAACCAGTAGCTCCTCTTGGCATGGATACACTTCGACAAGATAGGATTCCCCAGGGCAATTTTCTACGGGCCATTGCTTCACCTCGAGCGAAACTTCACACGGAAGACATCACAGTAGTAAACGGTGCCTCGTCGGATCAGGCCTGGTTGAGTCGCTCGCAGAACCTACACAACACAAAGGATAACGATCGTTTTTCTTACATTGCCAATGACTACTTTCCATCGAACCAAGCTCAGTTCAGCCGTCTACAGAAGCTACACAGTCCCCGTGATGACGTCTTCCTTCCCAACAGTACTGGTCTGAAACGACAAGATTCGTCCTTCATGGATAAACTCAAGCAAGATGCCGAAGCTCACAGAGAGTCTCGACCATTTCCCGTGATCAATCCACGGTCGCAGCTTCCTGCTCAGAAGCTTTCTCCTCTTCGCGATATTGGTAGCCAAAGACGAGAGGATAAAGTCATCAAGGCAGGCATAGGCCGAGACTCCCGGGCGAGTGAGCAGGCAACTGTGTTGCCCCCTATCCATTCAAAGTCCCAAACTTTTGCTCATAACATCACCAACAAACCTTCTCTCGATAGCGGCCGCCGAAATGAGACCTACAACCAATCAGGAAGTTTGCAGGCCAAAGAGCGTCGTCGGCACACTCGACCACTGACGGAATACGAACCGATGGAACCGTCTACTTCCAATAGGGGTGACATCGCCCGAGACCTTTTAGAAATTTACGAGTCGCAGGGAAGAGCTGATACTGACATGGATTTTGAGTCGTCAAGACAAGACGACAGTCAGCGGCACTGGCAATCTGCTGTCGATGCCGCTTCTCGGGGACTCGCTGATACCATGCACAATGTCACCGCTGTACGTTGTCAATGTCCTGCATGAATGACCTTTACAGAAACTGACTTGCCGCTTAGCTGGTGCTACGAAAGCTGGTCTCCAAAGAGGTTGCGATTACCAAAGTCGTGGATGAATATAAGCGCAACGGCAGAAAGATTGCTGCACAGCTGGTCCAACGCCAGAACCAAGAGCGACAGAAGTCATTCGCTACTTTCCAGCGTAATTGCCGCGATTTGGCCGCAGCCTACGATGGCGCTTCTCAAGCTACGACGCAGATCGGCGACGACCTGACGTTCAAGCATGGCCAAATCGTCGACGTGGTCGAGGAGAAGCATCATCGCTTACAGGAAGTTCGTGAGGCTATCCGCCTGGCGAGAAACGAGTTTGAAGGTCTTTGAAGGCTTCGCTTCGCTTGGCATGGCATGGCACTATTATTATCTACTAGCTGCATGGGATGACGTTTTATGTAATAATGGCTGGAAGCTCGACATCCTGCTACAGGCAGTCAACTACTCCTTGATAGTAGGCAAATAGCTATGACCTAGATCATCAAATCATATGGAAATCAGTGATACACTACAGAGGCTAACAATTCTCCCCAATCGAGTTTAAGTATAGATAATTGGTACCTACTACGGCTGACACGATTTCACTATGATCCAGCCTTGCGAGTGGGACAGGAACTTCTCATTCGGGTTCAATGATGATATAAGCCGAAGTATATGGCATGACATTGATAGGTATGATCTCGCGTAAAATTAAATTTGCCTGTTTGGCGTGAATCGACTACTAAGTTGGATTGTGAAAGCAGTAACAGAGGGAGGCTGATGAGCCTCACTCGCAGCAGAAGGAGGTAGCAGGCATGTTTGAGTCTGATTGGAGGTTCTGAAAGAAAGGATTGGGGGCTGGTGTTTTTAATGTTCTGTTGAGTGTAGAGTTACACAAGGTGGAGCCGAGTATTTAACAAGGAGTGCTAGCTTAGTATGCTGGCTCCGCAAGCTAGCTGCACACTGAGTTCCACCAAGTTAGTTGGTAAGTGTATACCTCAACCATGACAAGAACCAACAGCGAAGCAGAATGAAACCACGAAACCACTTGGTAAGATATGAACTCAGAGCTATCCATCTTGACTGTGCCATACAGTCGGCTCCGGGAGGAGACTCGTCCGTGACTGAGCAATTCCCGGTACATCTCGGCTATCCTCTGCGAGGCCTCGAGGGGAGAGAGCTCGTCAATTTGTGGGAAAGCGTTTACATCATCGTTCGTGGGTTCAAGTCTGGATCGGCGTCTCCTTGGCGAATCTCGCAATGGCTTCGCTCTTCCGGTGAAGGAGAAGAGAAACCAGTGAGAGGATTCGCCAAGGAGAAACCAGAGACCCGAGAAAGGCAAAGCAGTCGGGCACCACCGACTGACCAAGCTTACACCGGACCTCGAAAGGAACGGCGCCTGCTCCCTGGGCACGAACATTTTCTCCCGACCTAGGGTTCAAGAGTCGATCATCAAGATCTAGGCCATTAGAGAGAGCTGAGTTGCCCCAAGCTCACGTCGGTAAGTTGGATTTTGTCGGAACAGACTCCCCGACTCAACACGGTACAAAGCCTAAAGAGAAACAAGAGTCAGTGAATGGTCTTCTGCGGGTAGCATGGGAATTAAGTATTGGATTAGCGGATGGATGGAATCAAGAAACGACATACCCTGGAGCCCTTAATTCCTGTTCACGCCTCGATCAATTTCCCACTCCGCACGCTGACAAGACACTCCTCTCAGAGGCATTGAAAGGGGGTGTTGGAAAGAAAGCGCTAGTAAGGGCTGAATGATGCTTCGCGCACCTGCTTGGAACCCGCGGACCAAACTCCCACGCGCCCCGTGAATGGTTGGGTTAGGTAATCGCGCGGCCTAGAGTCGGCAAGGGACAAGCATCCTCCAGACAGGGAAAGTAGAGATTCCTCTGGGCGTACGCAGAAGGGTGTCTCTGCCCGGGTCGCCGCCACGCTACCCCCACCCCACCGGGAGGCAGTTCCCTGTCCTGCCGGGCTGACGTCCTCGTCACGGGGTTCTCACCCGTAAACTAGTCAGCACTGATACCAGCCAATATGAATTGGTAACCCAAATGAAAGCCCCCCGGTTTCGGTCGGTCAGATGGTTGACATCCTCCTCTGGAGCTCCTCTGATAAGAGTCCACAAACGAGCCAACAACCATTGGACATCGTCCCCTCTATCCAGCATCATGACGATTCAATCCAAAAGCAGCCAGCGGCGTCAGTGAAAAATCACGTCGGCCAATGGCTGTCTTCTCGGAGCCGCCTCAGAAGGAGAGCAGCCGAGGAAATAAGTTCGACCATTGGTATGAATCCCCCGCCACCGAGTCCGGAGACTACAAGGCTGTACAAAGGACCACGTTAACAAAAGTCATACTGACATGGAACAAGTTTAAGCTCCCGAGAGGAGAGCTTAGGCCCGGAAGCCTGCGCATCCAAAGCTGCTCCCATTGAGGGCTGGGCTAAGGTATGGTGTGGATCCCCGGTTCGGTCTATCTCCCAGTTCGGTCTATCCCCCGGTTCGGTCTATCCCCCGGCTCGGTCTCATGGCTGACATCCTCGTATGTGTGAGATTCATCTCACATAGCAAGGGTAGTCGACTGTGTGGTCCGTCAAGTGAATGAATGTGGAATTATTCCCCCAAGCTCCCATAGTGTGGATGACGTCCTCGTATGCAGGTATAGCACCATAACCTGCATACTAGTCATCACGACTGGCTGTCATCTATTATGTGATAGAAGTGAATGTCTCCCCCCGGTACATGTGGTGCGGCTGACGTCCTGATATGTGAGTTTGACCTCACATGCGAGTCACCGTGTTTGTGTAGCCCCCGTTCAATGTAAAATGAATGTAGTAATTCCCCCAGTTCCCCACAAGAGCACTAAACTTCAATCTTGATGATATAGACTTTGAAGACACTGGATTGGCCATACGACGTGGTGCACTGCTCCCTATCGGGCGCCCAAGAATTGGAGTTGAACCAAGCTCGCCACACGCCGTTATCGATGCTTCGGCTGCCTCCTAAGCGCCGCGGGGGGTCGATAAGAGGTCTCAGCCCATCATAGCCTTTCACAGCTCAAAATCTTGAAAATCTAGGATTTTCTCGCTTTCTCGCTATCGTCTAGATCGTAGAACATGTAAAGTCTTAGAATCTCCGTCGCGTAACTCCCACCGAGTATAAGATACCGGCGCCTGTTGCGGTTTCGACGTATCTTAAAATCTTGCTTGCTTGGTCAGGTGGTGCGGTCAGGATTCGAACCCAAAACCCTTGCGGGCTAAGCCTGTGCGCGACCAACTGCACTCCCGCACCGGTATGGACGCGTGATCTCCTGCGGGGGAGGGGGGGGGGGTGGTTATGGAAAACTTAGGGTGAATTCATCTGCTACTTGGATGATTTGAGCCAAAAAAGAATGCTGCGTTCGAAGGTGCGTTGTTTGGTGGTGAAAGGCAGCGCGGTGCTGGGATAAGATGAAATGGTAGGCGTCAAAGGAAAACTATGGTCTAAGGTGAAAATATTATGGCATCAAAAGATATTGGGTAATTTCAAGATGTGTGAAAAAAGATGTGAGGAAGGTTGCGACATCTAAATAAAAAGAAAAATAATTGACGGGTGGTGTGTTGTGTAAAGATCTGACTGTGTTGCAATTGGATGAGGGTGTGATTGTAGTCGCGTCGCGGTACGCGTCGGAATAATAGGCGTGGGCTTTTGGGAAGTCGATCGATGCCTTGGGATTTCGGTCAGGCATCGACTTTTCGATCAGGGGAAGCCTCGCCCTCGACTGGTGGTCAATGTGGTTGGGATACGCTGGGTAGAGACGAGTGTCAGTCTACTGTAGTCGGGTGGAAGTGAGGGCTAGATGGATGATACTCTGGCAACGGCTAACCTCCCGAGACGGATCGGATAGCGATCTGGACTGCTCTATGGTCGCAGATTGGGGCGTGACCATTACTGACCATGGGAAAATGGGAATGCTTGAAATGAGTGGTGAGAAAGATGGCGTGACGACGCGCCTGGAAGCGCGAATTTCTAGAAGTGGGATCCGGAGCAAGTGGCCCTTGATGTCAGAATCGTCGAAGCAACGTAAACTACCAACTGTGAATCTGGGACTCTTTGTCCAAGAGCGAATGCTTCTAGCATCATCGTCCTGCAGTGGTCGTACAAGACTAGGATGAAGACACACCGACCCAACTTTGCTGGAGAGCTCGCTCATATACTAACATTACATTAGCTTACACGATGGAGAATAAAAAGCTGCAGCTTTCTGTATCTTCTGATCTCTATTCTCAGATGTGTACTGCGCCTTCCAATATATTCTCGTCTTTACCATGAACTTGCTCCTTGCAGGACCAACTAGATGTCAGAGCTTGAAAGAAAACTCGGAAAATTATGGCAGATGCACAGATCGCCGCTCCAGCTTTACAAGGGTTCTCGAGGATAGGTTCGGCTCAGCGGAAATTCCTTGAGTGACTGGCTTTAGTTATTAACACAGGAATTTCGTCTGAAGGCCAGAGGCATATTTATTCGCTTGCAATGATAGGAACGAGTGGCATCCATAATCGGGGCAGTTGAATCCGTTGTGATAAATGGCCCAGAGAAGATACTATGTCAATAATATTCAATTCAGATGAAGGAAATCTTATTAGCTCAGCAATTGACATAGACTCGAGAGCGTATGTCATCATCTCAGACGTTTCGAAACTCCAAGGCAGATTCAGGTCTCCAATAGAATTTAGTCAGAGGTCTCGAAAGGTTATGAGAGGCATTAATGTTGATTTGCAGCAAGATATTCTACGTTACAGGCCTTTATCGCGGGTTTGCTAGCCGTATCCATTCGTTGATTCTCCTTCCTCTCTACCTGGGTCAACGATTTCTCGGAGTTTAGTCATATGGCCCAATCAACGTGACATATAATCCATCTCGAACGTGCCCGTCTTCACTGCCACCACCTCAGTGTCTCCCTTTCCCATTATTCAGAAGTCACACGGGCATTCATACAGTCTCCGTAATTGCACTGACTCAATTACTTGAGTATCGCCCTCGCTTTCTTTGGTACCACATCCAATTCTTGAGCTGTCTGCATATGAGTTTAAAGGATTACGCCGGTGCAAATCCCAGGGCTACCGACGGGTCGTGTGAGAGACCTCAGAAAGCCAGCTCTGGGTTTGGTTTATATTCCCGCGATGCCCTAACAGCCTTGATATCATAGAGCAATGGCAGTCTGTAGTGGCTTTTCGGAGAGATAGGGTGACGGGACCCTACGCAGTTGTGGAGACCCCGTCATTCAAGCCATACTTTACTATAAAGATATCTGCCATAATTACTGAGAACTTCAATGTTCATCATCAAGATCTGAACTCATCGACGAAGAGGCCATGGCTAATGTCCAGGTAACATCTCGCCGAGCATTTCGTCGTACTGACGATTATACACCTGGCATGCCCAAGGTGAAGCTTGTCAACGAAGACCTACCACTTCCCCTCGCCCTCGCCGCGGTATTGATCAAGGTCCATGCCGTTTCACTCAACTACAGAGATGCCAACATTGCAAACGGTGGCAATCCTTGGCCTGTAACGTCACATGGCGTACCATGCAATGACGCGGCTAGAGAGGTCATAGCCGTGGGCGAGGGTGTAAAAGCTTTGGTGGTTGGGGATCATGTAGCCCCGATAACCGACACGGAAAACATCACTGGGCGTGAGTTGACTCGATCCTGGCTAGCAGCGGACGAGGACGGAGTACAGGCAGATTATCTGGTGTTTGCTGAGGATAAAATATGCAAACGGTGCTGGTGTGGATCTGGTGATCGAGGTTGGTGGCACAAAGACGTTAGTGCCAAGCATGAAGTGCCTGCAACGCGGCGGGACGATTAGCCAAGTCGGAAAGGTTGTAATCATTATATGACCACCCACATTCTCAGCTTTCAGAAGGTTTTCAGCTTATACCAAGTTGAACAATCTTGGACTATACAGCGGCTTTGAACATGAGCAAGAAACAAGTAAGCAACCTTAACTTCAAAATACTAAGTCTTGCCTCTCATTGGAATTTAAGGGAAGTTGGTACCAGGAGGTATAGGTTGCTTGCATACAAGTTCAATATGTATTGAGCTCATAGTGCAATGTCGATCTTGGACTTGCATTCGACAATCGTTTGATGCCTTATCAATGTCGTTGTTTAATTTCGTTTTTCGCGTCACAGTGCGTACAAGGGAAAGCAGGGCACCAATTGTCGTCGATGGAAGACATGGGTGTCTTTCGTTTGTTCAAAACACACCCACAACACAATGAGGCCCCTCGGCTATAATGTACATGCAGCAGGGTTAACGTGCTTTAGGACACGCGCAATGGTACGAGAAGGTACATTCAATACTTACACATGCAACTAACTGGGAACGCAATATGTTTGTTCTTCCAGGTTCCACCTCCATCTCATCCACTTCACTATTTCTCGGATCCCCGGCCAACAGTGATATAACATTGTCTCCAATAGACACTCTCTGCGCCCATCATACACCGCAACGCAGACCGTGTTATGGACGATGGCTGAGCCTCAATGCTCAGAAGATGCGTTCGGTCCCGGGATCGGCCATGATTGCCGCGGAGGTTTCGACTTTACTCTGCTTTTCGAGCAGGCTGTACTCGGCGTCATCCCTGCTTCCGTCTTCATCCTCGCTTTCTTGTCGCGACTCACGTATCTCGCGAAGAAGCAGGTCACCACCTCCAATAGCGTAGCACGGATCCAGAATTTGGTACTATCCATCCCCGCATCAATCTTCAAGCATAACCTGACTGCTCCTAGGCTGTGGCTATAACCTTTTTCAGCCTACAGTTGGTCTTACTTGTTGTATGGAGTCTTCACGAAACGGAGCGAACCAGCATTACAGTCACCTCAGCGACCCTGAACCTTGTAGTCGCGCTACAGGTCGTCGCACTAACGTGGATCGAAGACGCACGATCAGTCAGACCTTCTTCCATCTTAAACGTCTACCTCCTATTCACGTTCCTTTTTGATGTTGCGCAACTTCGGACTCTGTGGCTTCAACATGACAAGACTACAATCTCCATACTCCTCTCCGTCAGCACCTTCACGAAAGGCGCATTGTTGTTCCTTGAGGCCCGCAGTAAGACCTCTTACGCTGAAAAACAGTATAAGGACTTACCTCCCGAGTCAACGAGTGGGGTTATCAGTCGTAGTGTTCTCTGGTGGATGAACGACCTCTTCCTCCAAGGGTTTAGTTCCGTCTTAACACTTGGTGATCTGTACGCTTTAGATACAGATCTAAGCTCGGCCAGCTTGGATGCCAGAGTGCAGGCTGTTTGGAACCATCGCCGGAGACCTGAACGGCGATTCGAGTTTGTGTGGGTTATTTGCAAGACCTTGTGGAAGCCGCTACTATTGACCACTCTGCCACGAATCTGCCGTATTGGGTTTACCTTTGCGCAGCCTTTTCTTATCTCTCGCTTGCTGGACTTGCTGATCCAACCAGACGATCAGATGACCCACGACCAAGGATACGGGCTTGTTGGAGCAACAGCTTTAGTATACTTGGGATTGGCCATCACGAATCTCCAATACCAGCTGAAGAATTCCCGGTTCCTTACAATGTTTCGTGGAGCCTCGATAACGCTCATCTACAACCATGCCCTTCTTATTCGTGACGACTTGTATGATGAATCAGCTGCGGTGACCCTGATGGGTACGGATGTGGCCAGGGTCATTTCATGTATCGAAGACTTCAATGAATGTTGGGCACGTCTAGCCGAAACAGTTATTGGAATGGTGCTTTTAGCATTGCAGCTTGGGTGGCCTTGTGTCATACCCATTATTGTTGTTACTGGTATATGACCCTTTACTGCGGATAACTGTATTAAAGACGTTACTCACATCGACCCGTAGTTTCCTCCTTTGGGAGCGGATACGTCTCCAATTTCATAGCTGGTCGACAGAAGGTCTGGGTTGATGCCGTACAGAAGCGTATCGCAATGACTAGTGTCATGCTTGCGGACATGAGGGGCGTCAAGATGCTCGGCCTCAGTGGACTTTTCAAAGCGCTGATCCAAGAACAAAGAGTTGAAGAGACCCATCGTATGGCTGCGTTCAGAGTAAGTATCGTCTGGCAGAACGTGATAAGCAACATTCCGTCCACCTTCGCTGCATCCCTAACATTTACGGTCTATGCTGTCCGCGCGACTGTCCAGGGGACAGGTTCCATTGGGACTACTCAGGCATTCACTAGTCTGTCACTGATCTCTCTTCTGACCTCTCCTGCCGCTGGTCTTCTGAGTGCTATACCGGCAACCCTTGCCAGTGTC